CTAGCAGGCGGAGGCCCAGCGACATGACAACATAGCCAATTCGATATGTATTCGCTGAGGGCTCCTGCCTGGTGTCGAACACCACGTAGCGGACTAGCTATCCAAACTGGTGGACTCCCTCATCCCCAGACTAGACAGTCTAGAGCGGGCTGTGTCCGGTAAGGTCTCACAACTGCTGGACCCCCCCGAGCAGACTTGTTCAACACTCTCCTCGTGAGAATTGAGGATATAGCAACTAATCTGACCAGATTAGAGAAGAAAGTGGAGACAATGTCTCTCACTGCCTCCTCTAACATGACGGCCCAGCCCATTGCTATGCCAGCAAGCTTACCCTCTAAGCCTACACCTCTCTACTCAGAGAAGGTGGCTGGAAGACTCCCTGTTGGTTTACCAAAAAACTTACCACCGGTACCGTCCTCCTCGTACATCAATAGGTTCAAACTAGGTCAGGTTGTAATACGTAAACGTTTTGACAAACCCAAACCTTTTGAGGGCCTAACAGCTGCCCAAATCTGCCAAAGAATCGACGAGGCACTAATCTTCGCAAAAGCCACCATTGATGATGAACCAATCAAGGTCAAAGCTGTAGCTCAATTTCCGAATGGTGATGTTAAAATATTCACTAAGGATCGACGAGCAGCCAAATGGCTACTGGACAATAAACACTTGTGGACTGAAAAAGCTGACCCTGTTTTTGTTACTTCCCGAGTAACCCATCCAGTCTTATTACACTCCTTCCCCACCAGCTTTGATGTGGACAACAGAGACCATGTTGAACTTTTGTGCAAACAAAACGATATTGATCCCAAAGAGATCCAAAAGATCCGTTGGCTCCTTAATCCCAAGACAACTGGTAAGGCTACCAGCACCCTCTTGATCCATTTTCTTGACAGACACTTAGCTCTCGACATCGAAAGAGCTGGTTTGTGCTACAACAATTTACACTTGAAAGGACAACACTACCTCCAAGGTCCTAAACAATGTTACAATTGTTTAGCGGTGGGGCACTTAGCTCACTCTTGCAAAGAGAAAGCTCTTTGCTCGCGCTGTGGTGCCAATCATAATTCAGCTTCATGCAAAGAGATGGAAGACTCTAGCAGAAGCTGCCAAAGATGTTTGAATGTTGACCGTAAAGTGTCCTCTCCCATTGATCTCTCAGACCCCAAATATGATCATTCCCCTTTTAGCAGTGGCTGCCCCATCCGTAACAAAGAATTAGAAAAAATCACCGCAGAGAAAACCCTTTCCTCCAAAAAATGATAGATACAACCCGTACAAACTATTCCATAGATCAATCTACAACCACCACCTCCACTCCCCTCTCACTACCGCCAGAATTCACCCGCACTTTCAACCTCCCTTCTAGCGCACAATCCCCCCACTCATTCTCCATCCTCCAGCTAAATTGTCATAACCGAAAAGATACAACCCACAGCCTATTACACCGCGAACAATCTTTCCTAGCCATCCTTCTCCAAGAACCTTGGACCAACCCCATAGACCACCTTCCCCCAACCCACCCTAGCTGGCACAGGGTGTCACCTATTGATCAACCAAAGAATCTAGATCAAAGACCTCGATGTTGTATATACATCAACAAATCAATTCCTAGCTACAACTTCCACCGCCTCCCAGAAAACTCTAGACTCCTGACTGCCGCTTCTCTCACCGTGGAATCACCCTCTCCGACCACATTCTTCCTCATCTCCCTATACAACCCTCCCTCATCTTTTGCTGCAATCCCAGAACTCCAATCTTGGTTGTCCAACATCAACTGTAGACACACGCCCACCATTCTCATGATGGACTCAAATTTACACCATCCCCGATGGAACCCTCCACACTATCGCCATACACACTCAGCCTCCAAAGAACTCATAAAAATCTGTGGGAGGAAAGGCTTTTTCCTCACCTCCCCTCCTGGAGTGCCAACCTTTCTTGGTTCCAAGGGAACTCAAACAGCGATCGACCTTTGCTGGGCCAATGTACACTGCAAGTCAAAGATCCAAAGATGCACGGTTGCTCTTGACAATCATGCCTCAGATCACCAACTGATTCATCTAACTCTCTCACTAGATGGGAAAATAACCCACCCCCTCAAAAACAGAGGTGTCACCCCCGACAAAGTAGATCCCCATCGTTTCCGGAAAGACCTAAAAACTTCCCTATCCACCATCCCCATTCCCCGTTCTTCAGACAATAGCTCATCCATTGACATAACAGTGAGACATCTGACTGAAAGCATTCAAAAATGTCATCAGAACCAAGGCACAGTGCCATGGAGAGGCTCTTCCCGAGCCAACTCGTGGTGGGACCCCCAGGTCTTACAACCCCTGGTTTCTAACAGAAACAGAGCTCGCAGGTGGATGATCCTGACAAACTCCATTGAAGCCCGGCAATGCTACTTTGCTTGGAAAGATGCCTTCAAGAAAAAGGTGGAGGAGCTGAAACTCCTACATTGGAGGCGCTTTCTAGCCCGAACTAGTGATGCTTCAGCCTTTCAAGCATATAAGTTCACAAAAGCCAAACTGTCCGCAACGGTTGAGCCCCTCTACAGGTTGGACAAAACTCTTTGCACCACTGTTGCTGAACAGGCAGGTATACTGTTCAAAGGGACCTCGGTCATCAATTCGGAATGCGATTTATCAGACATCCCCCCTGTAATACACTCCGAAGACCCACCTATTTTCCCTCCCATAACTAATGCTGAACTAACCAGGGCCATTGACTCTCTCCCCCCGAAGAAAGCAGTTGGACCAGACTGCATCCCTAATGAGCTGATCCGCATGGGTAAAGCTGAACTCTCTCCTCTTCTCATCCCTCTATTCAATGCCTGCCTCAGACAGGGCCACTTTCCTAAAGAATGCAGGTCAGCAACTACCACTATCATCCGCAAAGCAGGGAAAACCGACTACAGCGACCCAAATTCTTACCGACCGATTGCACTTCTATGCACACTTGGAAAGCTCCTTGAAAAAATCCTCAACGAGCGAATGATCCATTGGATTGAAACCAAGGCCATCCTCCCGCAAGGACATATGGGAGGCCGTCAAGGCGCGAAACATCACTGACGCACTGATTCTTTTTACCTCTTGG